CACCATACACGAGCACGAATTGAAAGACACCAAAAAGTCTCTTAAGCCTTTTCTTCGTGACATATTCATAAAGTCCGACACATTAACACGGGAGTTTGAGAACTATACTGAATCACATAAACGAACGAGGATAGATGTTTTAGTGTATCCTCATAACAAAACTTTATAAGGAAAATCAAAACCTACATGACTAAAAACCAATCACAGATTATATACTTTATTGCCCAAGAATCGTTGCCATGACAACGAAAGTTTTATTCTTAAGCACTGTGCGAAAAGGTTCAGGTCTAATTCAATATTAAAGTTCTTACCCCAAATGTGTACATACGTACGAATTACATAAAACGAGATGACCCGGTGAACTTCGTATCACCTACATATATTTGTGTCAAAACTTAATAAAAAATTAATTAATTCCTTAATACAAAAACAGACCAAAGAGATCGGACCTCATACTACAGCTATTTCAATTATTTATTTCTTAAAAGACAAGACATCAAATATTACCCAGCTAGGAACAGTTTTTATTAGAAATTTCATTTGTTTTTGGTATATTTATTTACTTATTTGTTTCCCACCGTTCAAACCTTACCTGAACTTCCACAAATATTTTAAGATCATAATTAGCCAAATCGGTCCAGCCATTCTCGAGTTTTAGCGAGAAACAACCAGCAATACGTTTTTATAAAGGCTTTTCGTTTTTAGGCTAACATCTACATTGCGTTATTAGATACAACGCCACGGCTAACATACGAAATCGTGATAACAGTAACTGATGAAACTTTAAATTTTTTATCACGAATGAGTGGCATTGACAAATGTCATGATACTAGCTCATCCATCAGCCAGCTAATTGCGGAGCTTCGTAATTAGCCCAGTGTCGTCCGCAAACTAGCCCAATTGATGACAGAGGAAATGAACTTCTATACGAGACGACGTAATACGTATTCCGTTTAATTCACCTCCACGAAATCACGTTTTCCTCAAATGGCGCTTGCCACCGCCAACTTGGCTTTATCGTCCAATTTGACTACATCTTCCATTTTTATTTTCTGACACATACCAATATATACCAATGGCGCTACAACCTTTTATGTCTGGGTCTCAGATTTCTATATCTGTTTCTCGATTATTTCTAATATGCAACTTTCTGTGCCTGACACACACCGTCGACTTTTTGGGTCCAAAGCATGCCGGTTTAATCGCGATGTGTTCATGACATAAAGTCCATCGGTGCCTAGTCGAGGATTGAACCTACGATCTCAGGGATAAGAGTCACACGCTGAATCCATTAGGCTAACACTGCTCTGCTCCTGGCACATACATCTAAATATAAATAATAAAAATATATCAGTTTTAAATTGCGTCAATCAAATCTAGGTAACGTTACAATAGAAACGTTATCCTCATATAAAATGCAGTCGCTACTCACAATAGATGACGCTTGTAATTGAAATATTTCAATGAATAGGATTTCCGATTACTAATCGCGTATACCTTATAAAATGTCATATCATTGCTTACGTTTAATGAAACCCGTGTCTCACTACACATAACGAGAACCAGAATGCGGCTGTCCTTGCTAGTTGTGACCACAGGCAAATGGGTCAATCCGCATTCGGAAGGAAGCATTTAATCTTGCAATATAAATAGTTTGCTAATGTTTCCGTTTCTTCATATGTAGCTTATTAAAGTAAATAAAATGATAGTCGTGTACACGTTATCTTCCGCAAATAAAACAGTTGCGAATAGAATCACGATTGCCTCATTGCAAATATAATTTATTTCATTTACCTAATTACTTGTATTGTCTTGAAAATACTTCCTATACTGATAAAATCACGTGCCTTACAACTTGTATTGAGCGGAGAGAGTGGATCGGTTGCATAACTCTTTAATAAAAACTCCTAATTAGAATATGTATAGATTCTTTCGGTATGTAAGAGTGGTCAATGCGGTAAGCGAAGCTTAAAGGGCAAGGCTATTAAAGATAATAAGAAATTGTGCTGGTACAATTTAATTAAAGGTGCAGCAAGATATTTATTGCAAAGCTTGCAAAGAAAGGCCACAGTATCTGGTCACAAAGATTTGTTTGCTCTACTAGTTTGACACTTTAACGCCGTAGGAAAGAGAACCGTTATTATTAATTCTATTGTTCATGTCCCCGACTTCCGAGTGAAAACATTTTGTTTTTATATTTATCACAACGAAAATATTTAGTAAGAAAGAAACTATGAGAGTTGTCAGGTTTCAATTAATAAGGAGATAAAAGGAGTACTTACTAATAACAATCCATTAGTAGTAACAAAAACGTCAGTACGAGAATACGTGAAGTGCGGCATTATGCCAACTTCTGATGAACACGAAGAATTCTATTTTGTAAACAAGCAATTAGACTTGCACAATAACAATCATAACGCAAAACAAGCAAAAGATTTATGAAACGAATACAATTAATGTGTTAACGGAATACGTGACCCAGATAACGTAAATATCGTTTAAGTGAATCATGCGCCAGATCATCAATATTCAACAGGGGAAAGAATATTATTGCGTCAATATTAAATCACCCTCACAGCCTTTATTTGTGCAATACCATAATTTTTATTTTAAAGTTGAAATCAGGTTGAAATTCTTGCCGCAGAATTGGAATAGAAACGGAAGTCTATTAAATAAACAAACTTAAGTAAGAAATCTAAATTATTGTGCAGGAGATTTCTAGATCATTTTTTTTATTTTGGACTCCCAGATATAGAGTTACTCAAATATGCAGAGTAAAAAGAAGGGTCCTTAAACAATATGGCACCATTACACAAAGAGACAAAGGTGAATGTACGATTGCGGAAACAAGTGAGGCCATATTATGATGAAACCACTCCGTGACGCAGCTATAGGACCTACAGATATAATCGAATAACTGCAGCGAATATATAATTTTATAACTGGTTGGTATGTCTCTTCTTATTTTCGAGTGAAACATTCTTAGAATAATTTTTGGGCCCTATTTGCGACGACATCAATTCATAAAATGCAACAGGCTCAAGTGGTTGGGACATGCGCACCGAATGGTGGATGACAGAACCGCAAGGTTCTTATTGAACTCACCTGGTGACAAGAGAAAACCCGGGAGACCGCGGCTGGGTTGGTGTATAAGTACCACAAGAGGCTGTATATCCATTGATAATGGTATGTAGAGTATTATTGAAGACTTAAAATGAACTTTAGGTGATCACACCGTCGACTTTGGGTCTAAGGCATGAAAGTTCTCTCACGATGTTTTCCTTCACCGTACGAGTGTTGAATGCCCACATAGAAAGTCCATGGCACACAGACGGCGATCGAACCACAACTTGAAGACTTTGCATAAACTAACTACAATCAAATTCAAAAATAAATAGTAATTACCTTTTCACGTTAACCTTAAACTGTACTAAAAATAATTACAGTAACACAAAAAACCTGGGTGAATTTTTGTTATCTCATAATTTAAAGTATGTTAATATATTATGTATTTATAAAACGAACTCTAGTTATTTGCGGAAATGAGTTTAATATGTAGGCGTCGCTTTATGCAAATTGCGAGCAAATATAAGATTATTATACCCCTACGACCTTCACCGTGCTACGTTATCCGGATTTAAATGTAATAAAATCAAAATATAGTTTCAAATACTCAAGAGTTCAAAATAGCATTCATGCAGAATAACACGTAAACACCAGAACATCTTAAAGATTCCTGTTAAAACTCCTCCATCAACGGTTTTTTTTTAATTTTATAAAAAATGGTACAGTGCATACCCAACTTTTATTTGAGAGAATATATACTTCTTATCTACGGGTATTTAAAGTATGAAAGAAATAAGCGTTATAACATAATAATTACTCTAATAAGTGTGGAACTAATCATTCGTTAAAAAGCTAAACACGTTTCAATCGATACTGTGAAAAGAAATCGTGAACGGTACAAAATTCGTTTTATGATATATTATGACGAAAATGCTAAACGAATTAGTACATAAATCTAGTGTATATATTTACAATATCATTTTTTGAATGGCGTCAAATCTATAAAAATTGAATAGTTTTGTCTATGTATTTTTACTCAGATTAAAAATAATCGTATCACAGTTAATTGAAGGTTACCTGTCATTTTAATATTATTTTAATATTACTTATTAATTTAAATGTTACCATAAATACCTGTCAATATACCCGATAATGTGTTTAATTTCCGTTCAATTGAGATCTATAAGATCATTGGTACCCGCCCACATTCCATGTAGCAAGGAAGCGAATGTCTCAATGTCATCTGACCCTCATACCATTAGAACCACTAGGATATTACGCTTGACCTATTATTTGGCTGATGTTGAATTATACGTTGATAATAATGATATAATTTGTCCATCACAAGTTAGTACGTGTATCGTTTTGGTTTATCTGAGATTTTTTAATCTTTTTTTTGATATTGCAGTTTAAGATAACGTAAAATCTATTAATATTTGCTATTAAAAGCCAATTTAAAGGAAAGCAGATTCGCTGTTATAAATTTCGTCTACGTAAATATTATTTTTGCTTTAATATAAATCATGAAATACACAGTCGTTAGCGGTTACGTAATTTCCTTCCACTTTTCGAAATGAGTAAGAACACAATTACGCATTACTTACAACAATAGTATTCTAAAAGATATTTCGTTTCGCTTTAAAATACTCTATTCTGTTCTTATCGGTTTAAATATTTTTCGACTTTTTTGTAAGATAAAACTTTTCCTACTTGCCATTAAGCAGAGACTAGGTCAAGGAAATCAAGTTTACATATGCATACGTACTTCCATTCTAATGCCCTATATTTACTGAAACAAATAGTTGCTCGTAGGAGCAGACTGTAAAGACAGAATCCATTTTAAAATCTGATAAAACATGGTAAAGCAGACCAACTATATCGTTAATTCATATGAAACAGACATTAAGACAGATGAATAACGACTAACTTTGACATTAAATCAAAAAACTGTACCTGTTTTTAAGCATATTATCTGGCACAAAAACATTCCACCAAGACGGACGTTTTTGGCGTATGTATATCGTCTCCCCTTCCTCGTCTGTATCATTGCCACCCGACTTCCGTCTCTTTTTACGTTCGAGTTGCAATTTCGCTGCCCAGGATCGTCTCCGTCCTTTCTCACTGGGTCCGTAGCCGTCACCAACGGGCACGGCCAGGGAGGCACGGCGGGGCATTTCTGTTGGAGGTCCATCGAACTCGTTCAGTTTTCTATAACGCTCAGCAAATGTTGCATCCGACGCTCTGCGTCCATTTGAAGCTGAGCGCTTTACGACATCAGTTTCGATGAAGGCCTCGTCATCATCTATATCACGATTGAAGGTTTCATCACTGAAGCGTCTAGGACCTTCATCGGCTGCTTCTTGTAAGCTGGCGAGAGGCAAACTAGGCCGATGTGTGCGCAGGCCGCGGGGCAATCGATTCGAGCGGCCCTGCAGGCGAGCTAGCGCCAAGGGGACCGGGGATTCCGTTAGTGTCGGCTCACTAGCACTCATTTTGAAAACTTTTGTCACTTACGTCACTTTCACACAAGCTCTATCCGTTTACAAAACACATGTTCACATATACGAAAGTCTTCTGCAAAATAATATAGCTCAAATTTTTCGCTTAAATTAGAAACATTTATGTGGTATTTATACAATTGTAACAAGAGTATTCGAAACTACCTTGACATTAGCCTTAATTGAGACCTTGTAACCTGGGACAATTGACAATATCGAAGTAGGAACAGGTTGAAATACGATATGTGTCTTTGAACTATGGATATCGTACACAAAATATATATTTCAATCAACACTACAAATTTCAGTTGTTGTTCTAGTTGAACATTCACGTTCCATACATAAAAGATGTAAGTACAAAATAGAAACCATTAATTTAGCATCAGTACAGCTATATTCAGTATCTTGTAAGTCATAGAACAAGAATAGATACCATACCATATAGGTATAAACAGGTGCAGCTTTCGTAACTACCTAATCGTCACCGCGACTCGCACAGGGGAAAGTTGGCTCGTATATAATGTTAGATGATTAACTGTCTCTTACTAAACGGTTCATAATCGTTTAAACATTTCATGAAGGAATTAAGTATATTAGGATAACAAGAAAAAATACGTATATAACAAATTTAAACTGTATATTCAACATTTGTAAATTATTGGAAATAAACGGGCTTTATTATTTATTATCTTCATTATATATATAATTCTACTGTACGAGTGTATGTCAATAAACTCCTCGTAAACGGCTGGACCGATTTGAATGATTTTTTGTATGCGTTTGGGTGGCGCCCTGGATGGTTTAGACTAACAAATCAGCCAGGCAGATAACACTGCAGTCGGTATCTAGGTTATTTATCTATACAGAAAAAAACAGTTGGTATATATATTTTTTATGTGTTCAAGTGGAAAAGGCCGGCAACGCACCCACTAAAAATGGGTGTCTATGGGCTGCGTAGACTGCCATTTTTGGTCGTCCCGCAAGCTCGTTTGCCCCCCTATTATATAAAAAAAAAAAAAACGAAAATGATTTACATTATTAGAGAATTTGTGTGTGTACAGGACAACGTCTGTCGGATCCACTAGTTATATATAAGAACTGTGTATTTTTAGAGGAAAAGAAGAGTGGTCAAAGCAAAACACACAGTAAACAAAATGCTACAAAGGTTGTTCGCTGAGGTTGACGTCCAAACAGAACTCTAATGACGCGAGGATATTAATATTAACAACTATGACATGTGCTCGACTGAAATAGCTAGAAAAACAATCAGTTACGACTTATTCAGCCAAGGCCGTGCTTCAATTCAGTATCATTAATTGTCACTCGTTGCGTAAAGCGCATTCATTAATATAAATATTATTTTTAATTACATGAAATAGATAAAGATCAGTCATAATCACGTGCTTTAATTAATGTCATAATGACATAATATAAATGTATATTGCCTGTATCGTTGGTATGTTTCAATCACAAAAAGCTTTAAAGTATAACACAAATATTTATTTTAATCGACATTCAAAAAAGTTTACAACATCAATGAAAAACAAAATTGAATAAATCATAGTGTAATCAACGTTTTCATCAATCAGACATCTTTTCAATTTAAAAGAATCTCTTGTTTTGATTTCTAATGTGTTTACATCGCTACTATATCCGCATGGATCGACAGTCGACACTATAAATGTTAATCGAAGTCTGGTTTTAAAAGTTTTGTAATGGCGGTGATTGCTTGATCAATTTGACAAAATTTACTTAACACCTCTTGAGTAGGCCACATTTGTTAAATTATATTTTCACCACAGTATAAAATAAATTGTATGTAAATAATTTTTCACGATATTTATGCCAATTACATCAAGCGAGTTTTGTCTAGTCCTCATGAATTATCGCATATGACAACTACTCTGAATCATGATAATCAGCGAAAATCTATCAAATGTCATGTATAAGAAACATTATTTTTATCAGCCGATTTGAAATACCATATGTTAATAAAAAGGTGAAAATAAGTTAAATTGACGAAATAAAAAACAATTAAATATATAATAGAGATGCATACGAAAACAGAATTGATTAAGTAAATCGTTAGTCATGTAAAGTTAATTAGTACTTCAATAAAATAAAAAATTAAATATCTACACAAAAAAAAAAAATTGTGCGTGCACTAGGTGTGCACACGTAAGAAGTGAAACTTCTTTATGATCTTATTTTTCGAAAAATGATCTACTATATGCAACTTTACTGAAATTCGAAATTAGATAAAGTTTAACAAAAGGCTTTATATCAAGATGTATTCATACAAATATTCATTTACCTTATTACTACGAAGATATATAGAATTTCATTAATTGTAATAGAATTATTACTATCATTGAAAAACGTGACGATTTGCTACAAAATTTTTCCCATACGTCGATAAAGAAGTTTCATTCCAACGCCGATAAAGAAGTTTGACTTCAAAAAGCAACATGGCGCGAACCGAAATGTGACGCGTAACGAAAAAATGTTACACTAAATTTTTTTCCAGCCTTCAAAGATAAACTACATATAATAAAAAAAAGGTTAACTCTACGATAAAATATTCTAGAGAACTCTGCGCGATGAATAGTCGCGAATATTTCCTACAAATGTAAGCAATAAAATCATATTTTGCCAATATACAGATTATGTTAATAGGCAAGTAATGGTCTGTATAAAGATAAAGCACGCACAATGGTTAGTACCTTGTTAGTTCATAGTTATCTCACGTCCTAACGTTGCAACTACGCATTTAGACATTACCGTGTTGCTTTTTACAACGTTCACTATTTTCAAGGCTTTTGCTTTTTCTTACGCCGTACCCTATGGAACCAAAGACTAAAGATTCTTGAACTCTACTGTATAATTTAAATACATAAAAATGTATTAGATAAATTTTTATCAAACAAAAGATACCTAAGAGAGTCGTTACGTAGTGTAGATAAATATCTCAGTTCGGTAGCAATACATTTCCAACCTCTGTATATAATGAGTAAACTAATCGAAAACATAATAAATCAGTGGCACTACAACCTTTTTAGGTTTGGGCCTTAGATTTCTGTATCTGTTTTATGATCATTTGTCAATCTAATAGGCAAGTAGGTGATCAGGATCATGTGCGTGACACACGCCGTCGACTTTTTGGAACTAAGGCATGCCGATTTCCTCGCGATGTTCACCGTTCGAGCGACTGTTTAATGAGCGTAGAAAGTCTATTGGTGCACAGCCGGGGATCGAACGTACAACCTCAGGTGAGAGTCGCACGCTGAAGCCACTAGGCTAACACTGCTCTTAAAACGTAAACAAATAAATTTCGAAATGATATCTCGTGATCACTTCAGATAAGCACATGACTCAAATCACTGAAAATAATCTAAAAATATTTTAAATTTAACATTATACAGCACAATGTATATACAATGGAGCGACAATCGCATATTTAATGAGAAGAAGCTTTACGCGGCATACAGATTAATACAACGCTACCGCGCTGGACACAGAAATTATCGATCATTACATTCTTATTATTAATAGTTTAGAATTTTTAACAAAGTTGGTATGTTATGTTTAAATGAGACTTAACGTATTTAAACTAGAAGCTGTCGCTGACCACGACTGCTCTAGAAGATATAAGTTATATAATAATACATTACAATCGCTATAGAAATGTTTTAAGGGCCATAAAATAAGTTACTTAAACGCAATGCGTACTATTCTAAAGAGCAACACAACTCGTGCGTACAAGCGCGATAAAGAAAAAACAATTTAACAAAAAACACACATGTTTTAATATATTTCATTTATCGACTCCAATTAAATGAAAAACCAATTTACCTTTCTCTGTTTCTTCATTAGAAATGAAACATAATATATAAATAGCGCAAATGTACAGGCACTAAAATTTTTATTATAATATGACACTAGCTGACCCTGGCAAACGTCGTTAGTGCCATGTAATAGTAAAATTCTAGGGAAAAAAAATTTTAGTTCACTAAAAGTAACTATATACTATAATAAAAAAGGGGTTGATCGTAGGGGAGTGACAATTAAGGGTCGTATGTATTTTTTATGGAATAATTCATAAAAAACAAAAAGTTTTACAAAGTCTAAAAATTTAGGGATGGGACCACCCTTAACATTTAGGGGGATGAAAAATAGATGATGTCCGATTCTCAGACTTCATACATAATTTCATAAGAATTTTGTATGAAGTCTAGTTCCGGAGGAGTATGGGAACGAACATGGTGACAAGAGAATTTTATATACATATTAGATATTAATATTTAAAACGCACATGTCAAGTAAACATCTTACGAAGTATTAAGAATGATAATATCTATCTTATCTCCGACACATGTTTAACTTTTAAGACGTTACAAAAATATTTAGGCGACTTCATACTTAAGATAAAAAATCTCCGAAAGAATTTCACCACATCACATACTCGTATACAACGGATAGACAAAAACACTTATATCATGACAAATAATACTCTACTTTCCATTATCAATGCTATCGAGTACTAAATTTTGACCGTTTAAGTATTGTATTATCTACGTTATGTGTTACAGAATATAATTTTTATAATAATGTTATCATAAGATATAAAGATAGCATTAATTAGTCTAAATAATAATTAATGCAAAATTCTCTAATGCCCTAGTTATAGATTCCAAAAGAGTGCAAAAATAACGTATCGTATTATCTACACCACATGTTAAAGTATAATAATACTATGTCAAAAACTTCGACAGATCCAGAACCATGCTCTCGTTTTAATTTCCAAAATAAACTCTTTTAAGACTGCATTAACATCTCGGGTGCAATAATTATAAGTACCTACACAAATATGTGGCAAACTCGTTGGAAATATTCCCAAATTTGCATGTGCCACAAATAAAAATGACGCTCTTCACGAGACGCTCCCATTCCACACAACAAAATAAACCTAAAATATATACCTCATAAAAGAAAAT